ATCTCAATACCAGACTTCAAACTGTATTACAAAGCCACTGTTCTCAAAACAGCCTGGTACTGGCACAAGAACAGACATATAGATCAATGGAATAGAATCGAGAACCCAGATATCAACCCAAATCACTATGCTCAATTAATATTTGACAAAGGAGGCACGAATATACAATGGAGTCAAGACAGTTTCTTCAATAAATGGTGTTGGGAAAATTGGGTAGACACATGCAAAAGAATGAAACTAGATCACCAACTTACACCATACACAAAAATAAACTCAAAATGGATACAGGACTTAAACATCAGACGGGAAACCATAAAAATACTAGAAGCATCCGCAGGCAGCAAAATCTCAGACGTATGCCAAAAGAACTTCTTCACTGATACTGCCCCTAGGGCAATGGAAGCTAAAGAGAAAATAAACAAATGGGACTACATCAAAATAAAAAGTTTTTTTACAGCAAAAGAAACCATCAACAAAACAACAAGAAAGCCCACGGTATGGGAGAATATATTTGCAAATAATACCACGGATAAAGGTTTAATCTCCAACATCTACAGACAGCTGATACAACTAAATAAAAGGAAGATGAATGATCCAATTAAAAAATGGGCAATGGACCTAAATAGAATATTTACAAAAGAAGACAGAAAGAAGGCCAAAAGGCACATGAAAACATGCTCAAAGTCACTAATTATCCGAGAGATGCAAATCAAAACAACAATGCGGTACCATCTCACACCTGTCAGAATGGCCAACATCAACAAATCAACAAACGACAAGTGTTGGCGAGGTTGCGGAGAAAAAGGAACCCTCGTGCACTGCTGGTGGGAATGCAGACTGGTGCAACCACTGTGGAGAACAGTGTGGAGTTTCCTCAAAAAACTGAGAATGGAACTCCCATTTGACCCAGTAATCCCACTTCTTGGAATATATCCCAAGAAACTAGAAACACCAATCAGAAAGGATATATGCACCCCTATGTTCATAGCAGCACAATCTACAATAGCCAGAATCTGGAAACAGCCGAGGTGCCCGTCAGCTGATGATTGGATCCAAAAACTTTGGTACATCTACACAATGGAATACTATGCTGCCATAAAAAAGAAGGAATTCTCATCATTTGCAGCAACCTGGATGGAATTGGAGAACATCATGCTGAGTGAAATAAGCCAATCAATGAAAGAGAAACACCACATGACCCCACTCATTTGTGGATAATAAAGATCATTATAAACTGATGAACCAAAAGATAGATATAGAGACAGTAAAGCAACAAGCAGATTGTCAAATTACAACGGGGAGGGGAGGAGGGTCTGGGGGAGACAATAAATCAACCCAAGGACTTGTATACCTGCATATAAGTACAACCAATGGACATAAAACTCTGGGGAGGGAGGGGATACATGGGAGGGAAGGAGGGGGGCAAAAAAAAATCAATAAAATATGTAAAATAAAAAAAAAAAAAAAAAAAAAAAAAAAAAAAAAAAAAAAAAAAAAGAGTGGCCCAGGTGTGTAGGAAGGCGCGGGGACCATCCTGGAAAATGCTCACGGGACACAGGCTCTCATTTCCACACGTTGCCTAGTCTTCAAATGCACTCTGCATCGGCAAAGCCTCTGTACAGCGTGGGTCTGAACAGCAACTCTTTGTGTTTACAGGGGACAATGAGAGTATTGCCAAGGGGATTGTTTATTGGGCAGAGATGACGGGAAAGGCATTTCCAGCAGAGAAATTAGAATATGTAAAGGCACAGAGACTCAGAAGCATGTTTAGGAATGGTGAACAATTCCAGGAGACTAGGGCCGATATGGAGTAATGAGGGAACATGGGGTAAGTTGCAGATGAAATGGAAAGGGAGGTCTTTCTAACTCAAGCTAAGGATTCTGTGCTTTTTCCTCATCTTTGTAAATCTGAAGCCTTGGATTGGCATGTTGAGATCTGTGTTTTAGAAAGAGCACAGCGGTGGCGAAGAACCGGAAGCATGTTGTGAGGGATGGTTTCAGCAAAGGATACCATATGCTTAGTGCACTCTTTGAATTTTAGGATCAGATGTGTTGCTGGTTTGCTTAGTTAAGTGGTTTCTTCTGGCACTTCCTCTTTTACTAATATGTTGGCCCGGGACTTCCTGGTGGGCTCTAAGGAGAAACAAGATTATGAGTCCACCCCAGGCAGAAAGAGCAAGATGGGTGGTGGTGGACAGAAAACATTCAGGTCTCCCGCTGTGGTCCCATTCATGTTTTCCCTGACCTGGGGTTTGGACAGCTCTGAGGAGGTGGGCACCCATCCCAGGAAAGGGTGTGGCTCTGAGCTCAGGCCTTCCCCAGCCATCTGCTCTGTGGTGGGTCCTGTAGGTGCTCAGCCCTTTCAGCAGCCTCAAAGCTTTGTTGGGCAAACGGAGGAGTCTGCATCTGTGAGGTTGGGGTGGTTAATGGGAGGTGGGGGAGACAAGAACTGAGAAAGAAGAATTGCCAGGTTTCTGTGAGGTCTATGTGCATTTGAAAGAATTTAGAAATAAACTGAGAATGTAATTAGGTGATTTTTGTTTTTGTTTTAAATCCAGAATCTGTGACTCTTGTTCATGAGCACATGCCTGGATGCAGTCATTTTGAGTTTATGGAAAATGTGGTCAGTCCCATAAATCAGTGCTGAGGAATTCTCAAGAGTCATCACCCTGTAAGTAATGTAGGTTTGTTGAGAGTTTCTTAGGGTAAAGCAAAACAAAACAGAAAAAGCATATAGAGCTATGATACAGTCCTCTCTTACCTGGCATTTGCCTCTGAGTTGTCACAGGGCAACTTTGAATTCTCGTTCGTAACTAATCTGTGACCTATCTTATGTAACTTTGCATGTATATCAAAATGTTTGTGGCCATTGTCATAACTATAGGGACACAATTCTCTGTATCTATTTCTCTTGTGTGTCTTACAATTTTAGCAGGGGTGCTATAAAGAAAGCCCACCTGAAAGTAGGCTGGGCAACCATAACAATTCTGTGGCAGACTTGTGTCAACAGTGTCCTAATTCTTTGACCTCCTGGACTTCAAATCTATTGTTTCATGTGATTGGATAATGATAATTCAAGGTGGTATTGTGTTTCTTAAAAGCACACAGACTATCTTCACATGTTAATACAAACTCTCATTCAAAAGTAGTAAATACGTGATTTAATTTAGGTGTGATGCATTAGAGGAAATTCATTGTTGCTGGATTTAATCCATCAGCCTCCCCCTCTTCTTCCTCCCACCCCCCCTCAGTTGGTTCTTATATCTTACATATGATAATATATCTTTCCATCCCTCCTTTTTCCAAACCCTCCCACTTCTCAGGTTGACCCAGTTTATGAATTTGTTTTGGCCAGACTGCTCAGTGGAGATGTTTTTCAGCTGCTCTGAAATGGGCTTGTTCTGTCACAAAAGATAGCACTTCTGACCCTGAGTGTAGGCTGCTTACTGTTTTTTTCTCTTAAACTGTTAGATGAGTCTCATGTATGCTAAAGATTTTTAAAATTTCCACAGAAACTAGATGTATAGCTTATAAGGCCAAATACCACCCTGAGTGTCAAGTTTATGGCCTAGGCTCATACTGTAAAGTTTGCTCTAGCAGTGTGTTTTTGGTGACCTCCATAGACAAAATACAAATTTCATATACCACAAGGGCCAAGGTGGCCACGTATTTTCTATGACTCGGTTTCTTTCATGTCACATTTGCCTGCCATCCCGGCCACAACCTAGAGCAGGAATAGCTAATTGGGCAGTAGCTTGCACAAACTATGACCCTTTAGACCATATCCCCTCAGCCACACACCGTCCATTGTCACCAGGACAATGAAGAAGGAGAGGAACCTGCTTAACAGGCTCTGCTCTCACGTTTTATTGGTTGTGTCATGCGAAGGTTGGACATGGTAAATATATGGGTATGTTTGATACACATTGGTTGCAATTTGGCTTGAATTTTTGCACCAACCTTCCATGGATAGTAGAAAAACAAAAATTACATAATCATGTTAAGTGACTATGTGTTCAGTATTGGCCAAATGGCTTTACAAATATTACCTTCTCCAACCAATCACACTATGAAGTAGTTATCATCATCTATGTTGTAAAGATGAAGTTCAGAGAGATTAAGTGATTTGCCTGGAGTTAACTTCCAGCCAGAAAGGAAGAGAGATTCAAGCCCAGCTCCACCTGATTTGAAGGGAGCGCTGAGTCAGACACTTCATTGTGCTTTTGGGTGAATGTGCCTGGTTCCTTGAGAAGAAAAAGGAGATGCAGGCTGCTGATAGTTGAGGAAGTATTTGGTCCCAAGCTTTTGCTATGTTAAACTTATGAGGAGAGACTATCTCTAACAAGAGGACATGAAAATGATGTGTTTTCTGCAGAACTGAGATTGTTTCCAGTGCTGCTATGATCTGAACAGAGCAAGTGGTTCAGCTCCTCCGTTCCCTCCTTTATCAAACGAAGACTCAGGTCTCTGCTGGCTCCTCGCTTTCTAACTCCTTTTCATTGGAGATGCTCTAAGCTTGGTCTGGACAATTTTGGGCCAAATCCTTACCAGGACAGAAATACTCCTATGATTCTGGACCATTTGGGCCCAACACCTGCTGCTGGAAGATGGGGGGACTCTTCTGTGGGCCCTGTTCCCTTGCCCTATCTTGTGGCTCTGGCGTCCTGTTTGTCGCCCCCGCCCAGGGTGGTGAGGAGCAGCAGGCCTCTCTCCCATGATTGTCCAACGTCAGAACCAGCCCCCCTTTATTCACTTACCATACCTAATAACTTAAGTTCTGGTTGTAGGAAGCTAAATCCAACCTAGTTGTGACAAAATCCTTTTCAGAAAATCAAGTCAAGGCAATGTCTTGTAAAACCCATAATTTGGTAAACTAGTATCTGATTTGTCACCGCATGAGATAACAGCTGGATTTGTTTACCTGGAGTTATTCTAGCTCTACAAACACAGAGGAAGTCAGACAATGACTGTGTGTTTGTGACACCATTTCTGAGTCCTACCGTGTCTCCTGGCTGTGGACGCATCACGGACACGCGGTCATATCCTTTCCTTAGCAGGACCCACAAGGCATCGAGTTTTCCCTGAAATAAAAAAAAAAAAAGCACCAAGATTACATATGAAAGCAAACCAATGGCCAGCACAGACCTGTGGAGTATCCATGCTCTTTCAGTCCTGTGAAAACACAGCATCAGCAATGTGGTTGTGACAGAGTAAGGGACTCTTTAGTCCCTGAATTCAGAAGCAAAGGAGAAGAGACACCTACAGAGGACCCTGATGCTCATGCAGGATGCACTTGAGATTTTAGTGCAGCCCCAAGTTTATAAACACAGAGAAGCTCATTCAGGCGGCTGGCTTTTGCCTTTTCACATTCCTGGGCATAGCCTGACACAAGTCTATCTTTTCAGCTTTCATTAGAGTTTTTTCCCCCCTCCCTCAGTACCCAGAATTCATAAATGAAAACAGTGATGATAGATATAGGAAAATTACTAAGCAGAAGTATCCAGGAACAAGACCAATGAAAGGCCCTTGGATGCAGATACCTGGCTGTCCCCTAGCCCCACTCGGCAGGAACGACTCGTTCAGGAATCCATGGCTCAAGGGACATATTACCAAAAATCACAGATGACCTCACATCACAACCTCTTTGTAGCTGGGTGTAATTGGTTGAATCTGAGAAGAGAGCCTCCCCAGTTTATGATAAAGACAGTCTCATGCCTCTGGCCATTCTTGTGCCCTAGACACGCTTTATGGAGGCTGGTTTCTGCCATTACAAATAGCAAACAAACAAAAAGACATTTATTTAGCTTTGTTCTTAATATTACCCCTGGTTGGTGACTCCATTAACAGGCAGGAGTCCCCTTTACTTTGCCTCATTTTTGTCATTGCCCTTGTGGTAGGTGGAAAAATCCCCTCCTTCCACCTTTACCTATGGCATCCTATTATCTGGAACCTGTGAACAAGTTGCCTTCCATGGCCACAAGAGCTTTGTAGATGTGATTAAGCTAAGGCTCTTGAGGTGGGGAGATTATTCTGAGTAAGCTGAGTGGCCTCCATCTAACCACATGGGTCCTTAAAAGAGGGGGAGGAGTGTCAGAGACAGTGAAGGAGATGTGCCCGCTGAGGCGCAGAGTGCTCCAAGGGACAAGACTCAATCCACAGTTGCTGGCTTAGCATTAGACAGACATGGGGTCCCATCCCATCTCTGCAGTGAACAAGCCGTGTGCCTTTGGGCAGGTTAGTTGGGAGGGGGCTATGTGAGTGGATCTGCCTCTAGAATCTGGAAAAGTCAGGAGACAAATTTTTCATCTAAAGCTTCCAAAAAAAAAAAAAAAATTGCAGCCCTGGCCTCACCTTGATTTTAGCTCTACGAGACCCATTTTAGGTTCCTGACCTCCAGAACTGTAAGATAATAAATTTGTGTGCTGTTAAGTCACCAAGTTCATGATGAATTGTTACAGCAGCAATGGGAAACGCTACAGCCCTTATCACTCCCTGACATAGTCTATGTTCATTTGCTTATCATCTATCTTTGCTAACTGGAATGCCAGCTCCATGAAAACAGAGGTGTCACCGGTTTTGTGAACTGCTGTGTGCCTAGCCCCGAGAACAGCATCTAATGCTCAATAAATATTTGTTGGGTGAATGAATGTATTCAGTGCTACTCCGTGCTGAGCTACTGCTTTTACATGTGTCCTCTCATTTCATTCTCTCAGCAGCCCCAAAGGTTTATGGAGAGGAAATAGATGATCAGAGAGATCAATTAACCTGCCCAAAGGCACAGCTTATTCACTGGAGATTGGACCCCAGGTCTGTCTAATTCTAAAGCTCATATACTTTCTACTATCCCGATGGCAGCTTCTTCCTCGGACAATTCTGGCAGAGACACCTGAATTTAGATCCTTTAGAACAGAGTTTCTAAACTGTAGGCTGCGACTCTTTAAGTGCTTATGAAACCATTTTGTATGTTAGAACAGAATTTTTAAGAAATAAAACAAGATAGAAAATATTACAGTTAATTGCACATGTTGAGGATAAGTATTGATTTTGTGAAAAGTATGTTTCAGATACATGTGTGTGGGTGTGGGTATGAGTGTACATGTGAGCACCAATGTACACGCATAGGCAAATACTGGGCCAACATGTTATTTCCCACGTGGGTCTCGGTCAGACATGCTGGAGAACAGGGTTTGGGAGAGTCTCTGAAGGACAGTGCTGGGAAGGCTGGGGATGTCGAGAGAGTTCAAGTTCTGTGACACAGAGCTTTCACAGCGGCAATGCTAACTTGAGAATATCACGTCGAAGACTTCATGTTCGGAAATGAATTTCTGGTGGGTTATAGTCAGACACCAAAAGTATGCTCTTGAACCTTTATCAACTGTCGGTCAAGTTCTTGTGGGCTAACTTTGCCTCGCTAAGTGCAGTGTTTCTCATCTCTTTTGGCAACGTATTTACGAAAGCCTCTGAAAATATTTTGAAATGACTTTAGAATGCTGTGTTCAGCAGGGTTTTCTGCATTCAACCCGTCTCAATCACCAGTTGCATGTTTTCTTTTAGGGTTCTTTGGGATAAGCATTTGTAGTTCAGCATATAACCAGGTGGATTTTCTGGAAGAATGCCTCTTTTTCGTTCCTTTTTTTTTGGGGGGGTGGGGGATGACTAACAGTATTAGGTTTTGTAAATCAGCCCACCCACAGTGCTCTGGGTGCTAGCCACTCAACTTCTTGACGGATGAGGGGCAGTGAGGTAAGGCCGAAAGAAAATGTGGCTGTTGAAGCATATTAATTAACCGAGCAGGCATTTAAAGCTACATGCAGAGCCAGAGAGCAGAAGCCACCTAAATGTATGACATCAGGAAAATGGGTCGTAAATTATGTTTTTCTTTGTGTCAACAGATCATAGCGTAATATTTAAGCACAAAATGACGGAACTCAAACGGCCTGAGTTTGTACTCCAGGACTATCCCTCACTGGCTCTGTGGCCTCGGACAAGTTGTTTCACCTCCCTAATGCTTACTGATCTCATCTTTAAAATGACGGTAATAATACTGTCTGTCCCATAGACGTGGTATGAGGCATGCAATTAGGCACTTGTCTCATAGACAGTATTCATTAAATGTTATCCATGATCATGGCAACACCATTACGATGACCATTTGGGAGCCTCTGTAGAAAGACAGAAAAGAATGTAATGCAGAGTGTAAGGATCCAATAATTTGGATCCTCTCTTCCATGCTTTTTCAACTCCTTTCCCCCTTTCCTGTGAGCCACACTTCTTCTTCAGCATGACACTGCTGGGCTTCTCTGGCAGTGCTCACTGGCCCCAACACTCCACCGAAGCTGCTCTTGCTAAGGCCACCCATGGCAGCCCAAGGGTCAAATGTCTTGGCCACCTTTGTGCCTCTTTTACTTCATTCTTCTGAGAGATTTGACATGTGGGCCTTTCCCTTTGCACACTGGTCCTTGGCTCTTGTGCCATCAGTCTCTGCTGTTTCTCTCTCTCTCTCTCTCTCTCTCTCTCTCTCTCTCTCTCTCTCTCTCTCTCTCTCTCTCTCTCTCTCTCTCTCTCTCTCTCTCTCTCTCTCTCTCTCTCTGTCTCTCTCTCTCTCTCTCTTCTTTTTCAGCTTCTTTTGCTCCTCCCTCTGCTTATACTCTGATGTTCCCCTGTGTCTTCTCCTAGTCTCACCCCCAGGCTGAGGCTCACCCTGACTACTCTCAGCCGGTCTCATGGGTCACACTTTCCCCTTTTCTGCCGCTGCCTCACAAATCCCATCTTCAGCTTTGTCTACTCTTCAGCTCTGGATCTGGGTATCCAATGACTTACCAATCTCAGTTATAAACTAGACACAGCACAGGTATTGAAAACCAAATACCACACATTGAATTTTCTTTCTCCTGACATGCTCCTCCTTTTGTAAACCCTGCCTTGGTTCACGGCACCACCATCCATCCAGATGGACAAGCCGAACCACCTCCCCACCGCCCCATCTCTTCACGCCCAAATCCCACCACACGGTGGGGATGTTCTCTCTCTAACACCTTCCCAGCCGCCTCCTCCTGGCCACTCCTGACCCATGTTTCCAGGGTGCTGCTGCCTTGGCCCAGGCTCTTACCTTGTCACTCACTCTGATACCAGTTTCCTGACTAATCTTTTACTTGTAGGCTCCCTGTCTTATCTCCTACTTGAGCAATAGCAGCTTTCATTGCTAGTTTAAATGAATGCCTTGCAGTTAATACAATAAAGCAGGAAACATCTTACTAACAGATGAATTGGGGCAAGTTACCAAACCTCTCTGTGCCTTGGTCTTCCCATTTGTACAATGGGAGTTGTATTCGTTTTTATTTTGAAGGGCTGCTATGAGAAACAAAGGAGTGAGTACATGGAAGGCTCTAGATCTGGGCCTGACTTATGGTACAGGCTTCCTCCAGGCGAGTGCTTCACCCAGGGGAGTTGCTGTTGCTGGACTCCCCTGACCCAGGAGAGACTAGCTAGCTCCAGTTATATCCTCAGTATGCCGAAGTCTGACTGTCCCACACACGACCCTGAAGTCCCCGTTCTTTGGCATCGAAAACAATCTTGTTAATCAACACCCCTTTCTATGCCTATATCAGGTAGCTTTTTATGCAAGAGCCGAAGGGAGCTTTAGAATAAGTATTATAACCAAGAAGAGAATAAAGAATAACTCTATAAAGTCAAAGAGAAATGCCTCGCAAAGGCTCATGGAGCCTTGATTTCTGAATGTAGGCAGAAGCCTGTCGTTTAAGACGGTAGCTAATGTGCTTATTAACAGCATCCCATTGGGGCCAGAAGAGCCTCAGGGGATTCTTTCAACCAGTCCCCGGGCCTCATCCCAAGCCTGGGGAGGACCCTTCGGGTTGACCCCGCCACTTAGTCTAACTTTGAGCGTCCACCACGCACAGGCTTCTCCACGGGACACATTCAAGATGCTGGTCCCCAACCCCCAGGAGAAATGCCCAGCTGCTTCTGTGATCTAAGAGATTTTCCCCAACCACTGGGGGCCCTTGGCCAGACTGTATTAGCTGACGTCTAAAAATAGCTTTCTTCCATTTGAGGCACGTTGACTATAAAGCGAGACATTTACCATTCCAGGCTCCCAACGCATCTCAGCCTCGGACAAAAACTTCTGATCCACAAAGTGAGACAGAGCAGAGGTCCTACGTCAACTCGAGCTTTGTTTCTTCCTAAACCCTAAGATTGCGTCGGGCAGGATTATGCCCCTGTCTACTCAAAGCACGTGGTGCATGGCATGTTGGCTGGGTTTTTCTTTCCTTTTTCTTTATTTATCTATTTTGGCGAGAAGCAGCTGTGTCTTCTTTGCTGGCTTGTCTGCCTTAGCGGAAGTTAGTCAGAGGCTGAGAATTTTGAGAGTGGTTGGACTTATAGGGCCGTTATAGGCTAACGCTGGAATTTTTGCACCTTCAACTATATGGTAAATATTGTGGCCCATGCTTCCCTTCAACTGAAATAAATTAGTGCATAAAGTTGGAAACTTTTCCTACACCCTCCTCTCCACATATATACACTCACCCTACACATGCTTATATATACACAGATGGTAATTTCTGTTTGCTCCGTCTTCTGTTGGTCTTTTGTTAAAAGAAAAAAAAAGTTGGAACCTTTCTGAAAAGTAGCTGAAGAGGGACAATAAAAATCTGTTCAATGTCAGCCGCACATCTGACAACATTTAAAGCTCCAGGGTGTTTTGCTGAGCTACATACAGTTTCATTCCCGACAGTTACATGACCGGAAGCTGCTTGATTACAAGGTCAAGGGGCTCAAGGCCAAGGCCAACAGGTGGGCCAAACAGAAAATGAATAGAAGGCTGCCCCCTCCCAGGCCCTGCAAGCGGCACAGGCCGCTCTGGCTCTTGCAGGGAACAGTCAGGCTGCCTGGCCCGCCAGGGTCTGGCTTTTGTCCTCCGGCTGTCATTTCTGTCATTTCCAGGCATGTGGAGGAGCTACTGGAAAACGAGAAAAATGGTTTCTCTGAAGGCTGCAAGCCTTCCAGCGAACCTGAACACAGTCCTGGTTTTAATCTATCTGGTGGCCATATATCTGGGCATGACTTAACTTGTCTGAAATGGTCAGTCCCAATTTAATGAGAAACATGGGGCGCTGTAAATCCAGGGGGTGGAAACCGAGCAAAGGGAAACTCAGGCCAAACAGTCATGGGCCTGGAATGAGGAAAGGGTGAAGTGTGGTCAGTGTGGTCAGCGCTTTAAATTAGACGGGGGACGATGGAGAGAAGCCCACTGTGGACTCCTTCGCTTGGTGAATTCCCACTGGGTTTACTTAGCAAATGTGCTCACCTGTTCAGATCTATTTTATAAAAATGCATGAAAAAAGTGAGTCAAATGTTGCTGAAACCGGTGTGGCTCAGTGGTAGAGCGTCGGTCTGTGGACTGGGAGGTCCCAGGTTCGATTCTGGTCAGGGGCATGTACGTTGATTGTGGGCACATCCCCAGTAGGGGGTGTGCAAGAGGCAGCTGGTCGATGTTTCTCTCTCATCGACGTTTCTAGCTCTCTATCTCTCTCCCTTCCTCTCAGTGAAAAATCAATAAAATGTATTTTAAAAAAAAGAAGTGAGTCAAATGCAATGCATTAAAAGATTTCTATGATTCCGATCACTTTCACCGGGGAACCCTGAAAGTTCTGCGCTGGGTGGGGGTGTCCTCCCTGTGTACATAGGGGCAGAGGAGACTGGTTTGTCTCCATGAGCTGCCTGCCCCCCCGCCCCCCCCCCCCCCCCCCCCGCCACTCCCTGTGTTTCTCTGCCTTCCTGGCTCTGTGCCTTGGAAATCTGACCCTCTCAGATGGCATCATCTTGCTTCCCTTCTCTTTGGCCGATAGGAGGCCCCAGAAGGAGATGAGAGGGCAAGATTAGGGAGAGGCTGGAGTATTTATCCCTTCTACTCCTTCCCTGACCCCCTGACTTCAACAGTGGCTGCATTCTTATAAGGCAGGGCTCTGCAAACATTTTTTCCCCCAACCCCCTTTATCCCCTTTATATTCCAGGGGGCAGCCCTCTTCCAGCTGCCCCGAGCAATCACCACACTGTTGTCCATGTCCATGAGTTCTCTCTCTTTTTTCCCTTTTTTGTTCAATGCTCCCACCTCCCCCAATTCCTCCCTCCTGTCCCCTCAATCAGAGCTGTCTTCCTGCTCTCTACCCATGAGTCTGTCTCTATTTTGCTTGGTAGTTCAGAGAAAAAAAAACCCTTTCGTCTTCATCTCTGAGATCCTCTGCGGCTCCTTCCTGTCTGCGCACGTAGGCACGCCACTGCGCGTCCCACATTAGACAACAACTACAAGCAAACAGCTGCTAGTCAAGCAGCTACATTTCGCCCACATGTTTCTAGAGTTCAACCCACTGCCCCAGGGGTTTTATCTTAAAAAAGAATGCCGCTGCTTTAAATACGGGCAAGCCAAAATGTAAATACCTTGCAATTAGTGTGGGCATCAGCTGGCTCGGCTGGAGAAAGACAATTACCAATGAAGTGTCACTTGCTATTTAAAATGGTTATTCCTTTGATTTCTTAAGAGATGGGCTATTCTGAGTGAATAACTCAGAGAATAATGAATTGTTATTTTTACTGTCATTGGAAGAGGGATAAGGCTGTGTGTGTGTGTGTGTTTGCATGTGTGAGTGTTGGTGATGAGAGCGGGCTCTTTTACTAAATCTTTCACTTGAGGCCTTGGAGTCAGTCCAGTTCTGTTTGGAACACAGACGTAGAGGCTAGAGACTAGAGTTGGGGCTGGGGGAGAAGTCTTGGGCCCCGGATCTGGGTAGAGCGAGGACTTGACTTACCTCAGTTTTCTGAAGGAGTTTTATGAAATGAAGGAGTGGGGACAGATTCTCTCAGAGTCTTTTAAGCTATGATTTTCTCATGCTCTGACAACTGGCACAGCGCAGCTGCTAATGGGCAAGCCTGAAGAGCAAGGGTGTTGAATGAATCACATATATTCCAAGACATTGGTACCCCAGAGCAAGAGAAAACAGGCCTTCAGGAAGCATGGACTGCCTCCTGTGGTTTAAACTTCTTGGTACGCCAGAGAGATTTTAAGATTTGAACCTGTGGGGGGAAGAGAGATGATAGAGAAAAAAGAGGTTTTGCTTGGAGCCAGAGAGAGTAAGACCTAGATTGATGGTCAACACCATCCACCAGTGTGTGCTTAGACACTGGCGGGAGGGGAATGGGCTTATGTTACGGCAAGAGGACCTGCCTGCCAATGAAATGAAATGTTATACAATTTATAAAGATCCTCTGGGGTTACTATCGAAGTCCACCTTCATTCCACTATGTTGTTATGATGGTTCGAAAAAGCATCGTTCTCAGCCTTGATAACATGGAAATTGAGAAAAAGTGAGTACCTGCACTTTTTACGTCCACGACTTGAGACATTTGTTCTGTTGTGATGATCTGGAATTGGTTTGATATTTCATCATGCCCAAGAGCCTGATGCTTACTAAAAGTGCTTGGTCAGGAGTGAGGATGGATTTTTGAGCAGAAAGAGACTCACCTTGATCGGAGAGTACCACTTCGGCGGGGAGGAGGGCCGCCGCATGTTGTTGTTGAGATTTCGAGGCTCAGGGAACTCGTACTCCTGCTCTGGCATCTTGACTCTCGCATTCTTTGCCTTTTCCAACTTAGCACCTTCTTCTGTGGAGCCCTTTTCTCCCCAACGGACCTAAATTAAATAACATGCAAAAGACCCAAATGACAAAATAAAATATGATATCCCCAGGGAACGAGGATCACAAACACATATGTGATAGGCCTCGCAGGTGCTCCCCGCTCCTCAATTCCTCTGGGCTTTGAGGGCCAGGGAAGAGGGAGGTGTGGGAAAGGGAAGGGTGAGGGCTGAAGGAGCAGAGAGAGCAAACCATGTGGATGGATTTTTGGGAGTGGAACTGTCCAGGCCGTGGGGATAGCAGGTGCAAAAGCTTTGCAGGCGCAGGTAAGAACTTGGATTTTGTTCCAGGGAGAGAAGAAACCACTGGGGGTTTGAGCAGAGGAGCGAACTTCTTCAACTCGTGGTGGGCAAGATATGGGGGTGTCCAATTAAAAGGCCGTGCCCTCCATTTCCCCATCGAATGCCTCACAATTTACATCCCTACCAGATCCCAGGTCTGAGTTTTCATCAGTTTGCTTGGGTTTTCCATCAGTGAGTGGTCAGCACATTGATATGAGGACAGCAGTCCTCCCTTCTCCCTGGGGGATGTCTTCTAAGTGGATGCCTAAAACTACGAATATTACCGAATCCTACGTATACTACCTACTTTGCTATACACACATACCTATGATAGAGTTTAATTTCGAAATTAGGCACAGGAAGAGATTAACAGTGATAACCAATAATAAAATACAACAATATACCATTACAAAAGTTATCTTTCTCAGGAAACTAGCATGAATTTCTTTTTCCTTCTTCACAAATCTCATAGATTGAAGATTTGTTCTCATTCTAAATCTTAGCATTCTCAGCATATGATTTTTTTTTCTTTCTTAGTAAGTTGAGAGTTTTCACCTTTTTACTCAAAGGTAAGATCTTATGGCTTCTCTCCGGCATGTGCAAACTGTCAGCATCACTGCTCTTGGGCTTTGGGGCTACTGTGAAGTAAAACCGGCTACCTGAACACCAGAACTACACTGCCTTGCCAGATTATCTGGTAACTAAGAGGGCTACTGACTGACTCTCTGAGGATGAGGAGCATGTAGTGTGGATATATGTGATAAAGGGGTAATTCACTAGGAGGGATGGAGTGGGACAGTTCAAGATTTCATCATGCTACTCAAAATAGTGTGTAACTTAAAACTTAAGAACTGTTCATTTCTGGAATTTTTGGACCATGGTTGACTGCAGGTAAGTGAAATTGTGGAAAGTGAAACCATAGATAAGGGGGGAAGGGACTACTATACATTAAGCTGTCTAATCACTTAGCAACACCGACCAGGGCTTACCTCCATCCTTTTAATGCCTCCAACACCTCGTCCACCATAATAAGAGGCATCCACCGTAGGCCACTTTTTCTTAGGCAGACCATCATCATCTTCCTCCTGCAGAGACAGTGTGGACATGAAGGAGGCAAAGCACCACGCTGTAGGTATGTGTCCACTGTGGCAACATGGACAAAAGGAGACTTGTCTGGGTGAAATGATCAAATAAAAGCAGACACCGCCAATAACAAAATATTTCACAGTATTTCCCCCCATGATATATGATAGTTTCAGAAAGCTTGCGATGTCAAACCAGGAACCTTAGGCATCTTGCCTACATGATTAAACTTTATGCTAGAGGTGGATATGTGTGTGTGTGTGTGTGTGTGTGTGTGTGTGTGTGTGTGATATCTATGAAACAGGCCTTCAAAAAGCCTGGCACCCCTGGCTTAGAGCCATTTTCCAAAGGAGATACCTAAAATTTTATCATCCAAAACTGAACACAGTGGCACCAAGAACACAAGAAACTCCAAGAATAAAGCTGCTTTATTCACTAGGAAACGGAAATGGCTTGGTGAGTCTCCTGCGCTTTTAAGTGACAGGAGGACAACCAGGAGAGGCCATAATTAAGCTTTCCCATCGCCCAGAAGAGGACAGCTGGACTTAGAGATATTAAGACTTCAATGGAACTGAAGTTCTAGACAGGTTTCCTGATGCCTTGTTTCAGGATCTTCCCCCCACACTTGCACAGCCGCTGCCTTCACACTCATCTCTTCCCTTCTGGCCCAGGACTTGCTGCCACCTCTATTTCTGGGCTCTGCTGGAGAAAAGAGGCGGGGCCAGCCTCCTGCGCATGTGCAGCGACCCGTGTTTCCACAACAGGAAATGCCAACACTTAAATCAGCTCCACGTGCTCTTGATCCACCAAGCCTGCCATTTAATCCCCTGACCTGAGCTTGCCTGCCAAACTCAAACAGCAGCAGAAGACAACACAAAGGCCCAAGCTTTGACCAATGAGAGAGTTGGAATTTCCCTGCAGTTACCATAGCTCTGTTTACACATTCTAGAGTCCGGAGGGTTTTGCAATCTTCGGAGGAGAAGGGAATCTTTGATGTGTCTTTGGCCAAAAATTGGTGGATTAAAATAACAGTCCCCAGCAATTCCACTAAGAAAACCGGCAGCACCCGAGGTGACCCTCACATCTAATGAAGTACAAGAGCTCTTGGCAAACTGTCCTCACACAGCTCTTCAAGGATGTCGCAGGGAGGGGCACCGCCAATGTAGAAATACACTGTGATGATTGAATGACAGATGGATAAGCTGACTTGCTTTGTGTGAGCAAAGCCATAGGAATCAGGGGTTGGTGGGCAGTTGGCAGAAGACGAGCAGGAGAGTGGAACTGAGGTACCAGATCACACCTGAGGAGATGGCTGAGATCCCCCCAGCAGCGGGAATGACAGTGATGCTACAGAAGAGGCTGCTTAATATTCTGTTAGGAGTTATTAATCGACTGCACTGTGTTGCAACCGCATACTTTTAATCCTTCAGCAAAAGTCCCTATGCAGATGGCCTTGTGCCAGTGGTGCCTTTGGGGGAGTGTGGGACTTGAGTTTGTTTGATGGTGTCCAGCAAAGGAAGAAGGGAGTTATCAGAGGAGAAGCAAGAAGTAGGAGTTAGTGGTGCCTGGAGAAGCCACAGAGCTTGGGGAGGAGTGCTGGTTTCCCCATCAGGGGAAGTTACTTTTAAATCTTAAAGGATATGGCGGTCCCAGACGTCCAGTTGGCTGATGTTTGGGTCACATTTCTCAGATGGGAGAGGACTATCTGACCTGCTTGTCCTCAGGTAGACCTGGTCACAGTCCTGATCTAGAAAGAAATAGCTGTAGGCTCTGAGGTCAGATGCTCTCATTGTGTTAGCCCCAAACTGGCTTAGTCCCATGCTGCCCTCAGACACTGAATTTTTTTTTGTCTTTCCAATCATGTCAGGCTTTTGTATCTCTCCATGTTCTGGACAACACCAGTCTTGATGTGAACAGCTCCCCCTGGAGTTGTGCATATAGATGGTGGCCCTCTTAGACTCAAGCTACAAGTTCTTTAACATTCCTGCTTCTCTGATATCCAGATGGCCAGCTTGACCAAAATAGGCTCTCAAACCAAGTAGGTGCTAGAGGGAACTATCTATGGAAAGGAGAATGTAACTGAAACAGAATCGAGCCCAAGGAAATAGTTTTAAATCAGCCTCTGAATCCATTTAACATTTTGATGAACCATAACCCACCTTAAATCCTTGTGATAAGCCCTGATAGTTCCAAATAAGAACATTCTATTTGTCCATTCCATCTTTCACCCACTTGGCCACTGTGGCTGAGTCCTCTGAGCCAGTGCAGTGTGATATTTCGAGAAAAATAAGGAGGATATTGCTGTCAACACGATTGTTCACATTTATAGAGGAGTAAGTTTGGTGAGGGTGATGACATGAAGTATGGAAAGGGCAAAGGCCACAGGAACTCCAGGCCCAGGAGGCTCTGAAGGGCTGAACCTAAACTAGAACTGGCTGCTTGTGTCATCTGACGTCTTTGGGGATAAGCCAAAGAAGTCATCCTCAATGTCAGTCTTAGAGATTAATTCCTAGGAGTGAATTGAAAAACCCAGCAAGCCCTTTGTTTGTAAATATAAAATTTCCAAATGACCTAAGATGTCCTTGCTTTGAGCTGTATAACATGTCATGGCACCAACACACCATGTCATCCCATACACACCATGATTAAGGATGATGCAATGATTTTCTTGCATTCTTCAATAAAGAATAGTGTATTCATTTTTTTTTTTTTTTTAGAAGTAATGTGTCGTTTTTTTAACTACTGAAATATTGAATACTGAATTCTGGGCCTGTTCTAGTACCCCTGTTTGGCATGTACACATGTATGTGCATGTGTGAGTGTGTATCAGTGTGTAGTTGATGTCCACTGGCGGTAGGTTGGCCCTTCACCCCTCCAAAGGGGGAGGCTACTCTGGCTGTCTGTGTAGACATAGCAGTGAGGGACCCAGGACTGCTGGTTGGTCCTAGAAAACTTGTATAATTTTTCCATCACTCAGCTATTATCATCCAAAAAGTTTTTGGAGAAATTGTTAGGATCAGTGAGAGTGATAATAAACCTAAAAATAAGTTCATCATTCAAAGGGAGGTGCTTATTGTTAACTGGATGCATTCAATACACATCCCTCTCCCTCTTACACAGAGTCAGAAAGTCCATGGAACTACTCAGAACTAAATCAGCAGCTGAAGTGCTCCATTATTGGTTTCTCCCATAAACTACCAATTATTGGGAATAACTAGAAACTCAGTGAGGAAATTTCACTCTGCTGCCAATTAGAGAAGAAATGTCCTTCTCAGTTGTTAAAATTGAGTTTCCTTGTTTTTGCTGAGATCTTGGCATTTCAGTTAATTTTCCATTGATGCCCCTTTATCCAGAAGTATCACTGTTGGTTGCATGAAATCTCAAAAAGTCATGGCTTTTTTTGTTGTGCATACTGATACTCCCTATTAAAGAGGATCACCGTGGAGTGCATTATAAAGTTGTGTTCATTCTTAAAGTTTAATTATTCACATAGATGTTTGTCTCCTGGGATACAATGAGATCTGATGAAAGTTGGAATAACAGATCCTTGACTTGTTTACATGTGGATGGCAGAGAGTGACTTCATATAGCTAGAAATTGAGTGCTAGACAACATGTTAAGCTCTCTGGAGATGAATCAAGGATTAATTAGATATAGATCTTGATCTTTAACTAGCTAATGATCTTAAATATTGACATAGAAGGAAGAGTCAACGAAGCATCCTAGGAATGCAGGAAAGGGAGAGATGAGTTGTGATGGAAGGAATGAAAGTGTGGTTTCAGAGAGCGTAGCACATGAGCTGTGCTTGAAGGGCTGGTGGGCTTTGAACACAGAGAGCTGGAGTGGAGAAGGCTGTCTGGATTTCAACTATGATTTCCAGGGCATAGTATAAAATACTCTGCGTGGGCTAAGTTATATTATCTGTTTTTGTGGGATTTCTTTATTATTATTATTTTTCTGCCAAAATACATTAGGTGGGAAATTGGGCTGCTTAATTTCCAGGGCCAAGGGACTCTCACGGCCAAGGTGCATACTAAGGTAATCAGCACTGCCTGCAGCCTGCTTGCCAGCACGGAAACTCATTTAGGTCTCGCGCAGCCCTCTATTATTTAAAATATATATATATGTTTTATGGATTTTTTACAGAGAGAAAGAAACATCAATGAAAGAGAATCATCGATCAGCTGCCTCTTGCACACCCCTTACTGGGGATGTGCCCACAACCAACGTACATGCCCTTGACCAGAATCGAACCTGGGACCTTTCAGTCCGCAGGCCCATATTCTATCCACTGAGCCAAACCGGTTTTGGCTAGCACAACCCTTTAAGCCTCAAGCATCCCGAGGTTGTCTTTCTGTGTCAAAAACCAGGTCTGCCTTCTTCAGGTGAGACTTTTCTAAGAATAGTAGGTGAATCTGGAAAAACTCAATTACTTCTCTTGCTTTCAGCTTCTCTTTCTTGGTATTTTTTAGGTTCGAGTCCTACTTTCCCTCCAAAATGGTAGTTCATTCTTCACATACTTATTAACTTGTTCTGTGTGTGCAGTCCTGTGCTTAGATGTGGCAAGCCATACTCCACAGTCTTACACCTAAGTCTCCTGGCATATTTTGTCCACAGTAGCTGCCACGTCACCTTCCAAAGACAAACGTAGAGCCAGCACCAGAGGAAAGGGCAACGACTCCTCTAATTGAAAATAACGAGGGGAGGGAACAGGGCAAACAGACCAACCTTGTCAAGAGAGTGTCTTGACCTATTTTTCTTTGGAAGAACAAGAGACAGCTGCACGCAGCAGAAGCCCTGCCAAAGTGGAACCTGAGGGAACTAACCACGGTGCTTTCTCTTGAAAGATCAGCAAAAGGCTTTGGTGGATGTAAAGAGGGTGTTATTTTTCCCCTCCCTCCTCTTTGCACGGCAATGTAATTTCCTCCCCTGATTTCTGGGCAGGAAGTTAGCATTCCAACAAGATGTGCTTTAATTGATGGCAGCTATTAAATCCCTTGGCTTACATGCATATGGTTCAGGATATAAGAGCCACATGGAATTTTAAATGTAATCATGATTCTTTCTGTATGTAGGAAACTTGACAAAGACATTGGGAGGAGGAATGCTGAGGGGGTGGTGCTCAGTTTGCACACAACAGACCTTATGGGATTAAGGACCATGAACTAGAAACCTCATCATTCTAGCTTTTGGTCCCACTGGGTTTTCAGACCTGTACCCTGGTTTATAAATTGGCGAGCATTGCATCCAGGGTGGCCAGCTCTCCCGGAAATGATCAGAAGCCCAGGAAAGCCACTGGCCGGGCACTCCTGCCCCTTCTTCCCCCATATGGTCCTCCTCACCATCAGCCTTCAGCCTCCACTCTATTCTAACCCAGGCAAACTGCTCACTGGCCAACTTATGGTGGAGTCTAAGGTATTTTTCTTCCTTCAAATGATGAGGATTGGAGAGCACGGCATATCCCCTTCCAATATATTTTCATTACTTACTGGCAAATCTTTTGGTAACATTTTTTAAATTAAAGAACAGGCGGGTCCTAGAATCACAGATTTTCCCTGATCTGCACACATAAAGCATAAGGGAGAAGAGATCCCTAAAGTGTCTCTTTTAGAGGAAAAATGATTATAGTGATAAAAACGTTTCTGTTTGCATCTCAGATTTTATCTGTGCAAGTAAAACCTTCCCAAGCCTCTGCCTATGACTGCCAGTTTAGTTTATTCCTGTTCATCTTTGGTTGGGAAAGAGCCGAAGACCTCCCTGCTGCTGCTTCACATGCACTGGGAGCCTGGGCCCAACTTAGCTCTGCTCTGCAGGGGCCCGAGTCTCAGCCCAGTCCACTCAGCTCTCCACCCCACTCCACCACCCTGCCCCTCTGGCTGCACCAGGCTCTGGTCACTCACCTCACTTTCCTCAGCAGGAGGTGGAGGCATCTCCTTGATAATCTGAAAAGAAAAAATAAAGAACAAATCAGTGGAAATCTCCAGCCACCGGCTTTTCAAGAGGCCTGCTCTCATGAGGTGTCCGGGTAGGGTGGCCATAATTGCCATTGAAACGGGCACAAGCAAGGCAGGCTTAATCAATGGCATGATGTGTTTTTGTGGGCAGAGTAGCTCAGCTAGTTAAAGTATGGTCCAGGCTGAGGGTTCCATTCATAATGGTGTTTGTTCCATTCATAAAGGAAAAAAATGCTTCATAGATGACAGTTTCATCTTTTATCCTAGGTAGCTATCATGCAAATTTACTCACTCATTAATTCATCCAGTCATTCATTCATGAAATCATTTACCCATCCATCCAACCAGCTACATATTTAACAAGCAAAGTACACGACAGAGGTTAAGATGGTGCTGCAGAGAGGAGTCAGGGATGGGCCCCGCGAGCTGGTGGTAGTTCTGTTAACTGTCGCTGGTCCCAAGTAGTGCACATCTAGGGAGGGTGTAGGCTGTAAATGTCAGGCAGATAAATTCTCAACAGTGGGTAGCAAAGAAGGGGTAGCCATGGCTTTTTTTTTTTTTTCAGGGCCCTGAACTTAAAGGAGTACAAAGGTTTATATAGTAACATTGTAAGATTGTATTTTGCAATTGCCCTGTCATTGGGGCTGAAAAGAGACATGTGGATACTATGGGTAGGCAGCATTTGGGGGCCCCTTCCATCCAATGAGAGGATGAGTGACACACGGGAGAAGGACAGGAAAGAAGGACAGCTGGGTGGCAGTAAGCGGCCTCTCCTTACTTGTGTCCCCAACTTGCACACCCCCTTCACAAAAGGAAAGCCCTTGCAGTAATTAAGAGTCTTTTACAAGGCAGTTTGGTCATTATCATGGTGACTCTACCATGTCCTTTGGTAGCTTCCTCTTCTCATCTCAAGCTTATTAATGGAATGTTGGGCCAGCTACATATAAGACAGTCCTTTTCCTTAAGGAATTCAGGTATATACAAAGCTCATTATACACTGAGGTGGCCAGATTATTATGATCTCTGAACACATAAAAATCTGGCTACTCAGTGTATATCCTATATAATAAAAGGCTAATATGCAAATTGTCCCCTCAACCAGGAATTCGACCAGCAGGCAGGCAGGCTAACCACCCATGTCCTCTCCCCATGGCCAGGCTGGCCAGACCTCACCCTTGCATGAATTCATGCACCAGACCAAGTGTCCTGATTATGATGTGTTCAGAGATCATAATAATATGGCAACTCAGTGTATATCTTTTGATGTTTTAGTGCCAGGGCTGGTGTGAACTAGTTGTGAATGGCTGCTTGGGCACTGCCCACTGGACCAGTTCCTTGATCTAGTTGGAAAGCTTTCCTAGCTGCAGAGCAGACTGCATTCTAGGCATCAAGCTCTTGCCTGCTTAGCACACATCTCCTCTGACTTAATGAGTATTCTGGGCTCTGATTCCCACTGTTATCATCTGGGCTACCACCATCTGTCATGTCATCTCTGTATGCTGAGACAGGCTACTGGCTTGAGGCTCTATTAACACTGGCCTGGGGACTGAGACTCCACTCATCTAAAAAGACAGCATTCAATTAATTAAGGATAACAGAGGTTAAGCCCTCCAGGGGTTCCAAGCTATCATTTCATCTGCCTCCACTTCCTGGCCATTGTGGGAAGCCTGCTGAAGGTCTCTGGAAAGCATGAAGCCATGATTTTGCTCACCCACTCAACACTGGCTCCGAATTTCTTAAGAAAATCTCTGGGGAGGGCCATTCCTGCCCAGAGCTGATTTCCCATCATCCCAGAGGGACTGATGATTTAAAAACAGGAAATGCCTGGGAATGGGAGGGAAGATGGGAGGCTGGGGACAGCCATCTAGAATGTGTCTCCTCTCTTTGGGCAGGGTTAAGGAGGGGAGGAAGAGGGGGCAGGCCATTTGGGAAGACAGACAGATAATGACAGGGGTGCATGGGAAGGACCGTGGATATCTGGAGGTCCGGTACAGAGCAGCTGAGCTTCTGTCTTGATGGGGCTCCCAGCTTCCCCCTCACTGCATGGCAGCACAGTGGAGCTGTCCGAGCAACCCCAGACCTGCCCTTCTCTTACTGTGAGGATTTGACAAGTCCTTGAGCCTCCCTGAGCTCCACTGTCTTCATCTGCCAAACATTAACCTTGCAGGAATCGAGTCACGATGAGCAATCGTATTTGTAAAACACCTGGTATACAGTGGGTGCTCAATCAATGGATCAGACTGTTATTCTTCTTCTCCTTTCCTTTCTCGTCGTCTCTGTATCTTGTCTTTATTGCATCTTTAACAAAGGCTTCACTTAACCCCTGTGTGAACAAAAGGCTATGTATGGCCAATTCCAGATGAAGCAGCTTAGAGGCCAGGAGTGACAGTAGGCTGGTGTTCAGACAGTGGCCAGGGGCTACAGGAGGCCAGCCAACAGCAGGTTTCACCACATATGTGTGGGCACGTGCCACCAGCGAGGAAGGGCCGCAGCAAGTGGCCCACCACCTCAACCAACCCATCTATGGGTTGCCATTCAAGCAGTGTCCCAAGGGGAAACCAAAAGACAGTGCCAAAATACTCCATTTAGTATTAATCAAAGGTGGACTAATTTATAATCCAGATTTCACGCTGACTTGCTGTACACTGGGCACTTGAGCTTCTGGAAAAATGCCACCATGTTCAGGTTAACAGGGTTTAGGCACCTCCAATCTGGTCTCATTGGTTGGGTGTCTGACTATATTCAGCAGGAATGAGGAAGAAGTCTTCCTAATTCCCTAATGCTTCAAAGCATCCCCCCTTCCTTCCTTCTTTCCCCTCTCCCCATCACCAGTCTTCCCATAGGGGAATGTTTCAAAGTGTGATCTAGACAGCCTAAGTTGAAGTCATGATTTTTCCAAGCATTGAAACTGGATTGACTATCTGCAAAAGAGCCAAACCCTCCTGCCAAGACCAGCATACGGGCCACCCAAAGAAGTGACCTAAGCACAGGGACACGTCAGCCTTCTCCACACCCCCCCCCGCCCCGCTCCCATCCAGAGGGCACGTTGCCTGGAGGAGCAGGTGGGCAGCTTTTGAATTCAGTGTTGCTGCCTCCTTGTTGTGCAGTGGCCCAGGGTTCACAGGATAAAATGCTAACTACCCCCCCCCCCCCCCATGCACCTCCCCTGGGAAGTCTGTGACCTCACAGAACAAGCAAGGCCCTGTTCGTGGGGTCTCAGGTAACCCGGTGTTTTTTTTGTTTTTGTTTGTGTGTGTGTGTGTGTGTGTGTGTGTGTGTGTGTGTGTGTGTTTTAATAGCACTGTCAACGGTAATTAAAAGATTAATTGCATAATTCTTTGCTTCCAAGTAATTTGACTAGAAAGTATTTCCAACAAGAATGCAAACTAGATTCCACGGAGCACTACCAAGCTTAGACTCGATTTGGCCCACTTCCTTCTCAGAAGGTTCCAGGAGCTTCCTCTTGGTTGGGAGTGGGCTCATAGGGTCTTTTCTCATGAGAAGGAACACATTAAAGATAGGTAAGCTTGAAAGGACTCTTAATCAAATGTTTAAAAAGAAAATTCCTCAACCAACATATCTATAAACACAACATGGTAGAAGCAAATGGCAGAGTGAATTTGGGAATATTTTTTGCATTTCTTCTCTTGAGGCACACCCCACTCCACCATGTACTGCCATCTTCAGCTTATGTATTGTGGATGGGCAGAAAGTGCCCATTTGCCTCGTTGGAGTAGCTGCCCTAAAGTTACTTGGCATTAATGGGTGGACTGGTGAAGTAAATGGGGGTAAGAAAAATGAGGCGGGATATGGAACTTCTGAATTCTAGTAATGTTTCTTTGCTACCTGGGAATTTCTTGAAACTGTCTCTGCTGTACACTGGGAGATAAGCTTCTTCTCCCCACTGTTAGCCCTGATTTTAGCCATCTTTGTTTAGGTAGACATGAGATGGGGTCAGATTTGACAATGAATATTCTATGGGTTAAGAAAAGAGATCCAGAAAAGACCAGGTAGAATCTTATTAAATTGAAATCTTACTGGCAAATGTAAGTCAGAACAAAATCACGTTTTCACGTACCCCTCTTAGTTTGGCTGCTGGAAATAGTCATGTGGGAAGATGTGGAGATATTGTTAGGTTGGAATAAATACAGCAGGAAGATCACACATGCCCAAGTCCTGCCTGACACCTAGGAACTTATTCTAGCTCTATGAGTCAAGTTCAACCATTTAGGTCTCCATAAGCTCTTTCTTAAAATTTATTTTATAAAATATGAAGGTGAAATTAAGCACATGGTGAGTTTATTACACTTGTTTCTTTTTCTCCAGAAGTATCCAAGCTCAGCTCCTAGATTGTATGATTTGATTCTGGTCACCTGATTCATTCTTGCTATCACTTTGCTGCTACAGTCCTGGGCAATGGAATAGAGAACACAGTCTATCCTCTTCCTCCTCCCAGGCGATAGCCACCCTGGCTCACTAGATGTTGCATTTAAAGTCATGAGTGACATAATTTTACTATGAGATGAACTACCAATAAAAATTTTAGTTAACACGTTAGGAACAGCTTTTTTGTCCAGTGCAACTGATTTTTCTAGAATATTCGCTTATTTCAATTAGCCAATTTAAATTAGTCTGAAAACTTGACTACTATTTTACTGTCACGAGTGAGGGCAACATGCTGGCTGCATCAGAAGCACGCACCGTGGGTTAAAGAAAAGGCTAAACTGCTGACAACAGCAGAACAGTACTTTCCTGGCACTTGGTCTTATTTGGAACCACACAAATAACTTTTTTTTGGTTGTTGTTATGAAAAGAGAAACTTGGCAAAACAACAAAGGCTGGGTTTCTATTTTAAGCCAGTGCAGAGGAATAACAAGACTATGAGTCACCGCCATCCACCTCTGTTGTGACACTCCGATCTAAGAATGTCCTTCCTTCCGTCCTGTCTCCGTAACGCAAAGCCACAGTGCTACATCACACTCATCCAC